TTTCTGTCAGACAGACAGCAGGGCAGACAAACAGACAGACAAACAGCCAAAGAGGGAAAAAGCACCACGTAAGTAAAAGAAAATACATTCAAAGAATCCGGGCGAAATTCTGTATACGCGGCTTTATGCAGTGTGAGATAGAGAAACAAACAAACAAACAAACAAACAAACAAATAAAAAAAAGAAAAAAAACATCGAACGCTTTGTAAATGTCACAGAAACCACGTGGAAATAAAACTCCCGGAAACCAACACCAATTAACGGAACTCGAGAGGTTGTCAGTCAGTCAGGAGGAAAGCAGAAATTATAATTATTCCTACCTTTATAAAAAATACAGAGCATAAATGATTTCGGAAATGGCAGTGGTCATATCTGACTTCTTAATGATGCCGACTTCCAACACCATGACCACTCCGAATCATAAAAAGAGATGATTCCAATAAATCGCAACCGAACACGACAGAATAAGCGGGTGATGATAAATTGGACGTAGTTCTTAATGGCTCTAATTAGACATGTTTGATAAATAGTGTAGAAGAACTAGTCTTGGAATGATGTAATGGTGGAGATAAATCATCAGTAGTGATAGGCCTATAATCGAGTTACCAACGATTTAGAATGAAAGACACACAAACCTAGAAGAGAAAATGCAAAGGGAAAATAATTACGTCTTTTTGAGCAGAAAATTTAAGAAGGTGCATGTTGATATCGATTTCATTTGTGTCGTGTAAGAAACTGGCACTGATGACTGAGGGGCTATAAGTGTTCACATGACGCCCCTCACGAATTCTACCCATTCATTTTGTTATGCTGTAGAAACGATCAGCTGCATTGGGGATTCCTGACCCCACCTCCCTTCGTTTTCTGAAAAAAAAAGCAATATTCCCCTCTTGCATAATGAAATTTGACTACCTGAGTCATAGTTCTAAACAGTACCAAATGGCGCCGTTGGCCCATCTAAAACACCAAAATTTTGAGAGGGCCCCGAACCCCATGCCAAGGGGGCGAGGGTCGACCCTGCAGGTGACCGAGTTTATTGTATCTGATTTCTTGCATCCCCCCTTCGAATGATATAGTATTATAAAGAGTATTTAATATTACTAAAACAGTATAGGATGGTACACTTGTTCTTGTACTACAGAAGTGCTGTGACATCGATCGGGTACCCGAAGCGTGAAGACGTAAATTGCGAAAAGTTTAATGTACGAGTCAAACACATAGGTTAAGGGATGCAGCAATAGGACGGTTGGTAGTTCCCAACAAAGGGACTTCCGGGTAATATTGGCATCAAACCAGAAAAATGATTTGTGCTACGGAGACAATTCTAGAAGTCGGCATGACGTCACAAGTGTCCGGAGCGTTGTCAAGCGCAATGTTTGGGGGACAAATGTGATGCGACTTCCGATTTTCCCATAGTTTGTAACGGACCAAGAGACCAACAGACCAAGAGACCTTCCTAAGTAAAATTTCAGTCTTAAAGGCTGATACAAGGTCACCAGAAAGTAAAATATGCAAAGTGTTTAACATTGCAAACAAGGATAATTTAGCCTCTCTTTTCAATTTTATTATAAAATCATTTTAAAAAAATGAAAAACTAAGTTTGTGGTCCCACTGTTGTGAACAGTGACTACAGTGGGAAGAAAAAAAGTGACACATTTTTATATCTGTTTTCTACTTATTGGAGTAATTATAGTTCTTCCCCCTTCCTTGTAAATTTGAATCACTCCATATTATGTAGCCATATGCTTCATGATTTGTGTTTGTGATAAATTTATAAACATGCCAAGAAGTTAATCTCACTGCTTATCTTGAATATTTCATTTATGGAAAGATATTTGTTCAGTCACTAACTGGGAACGCAATTGCCAAATACAGAATGGTAATGCACTAATTGTATTGTTGTTTTTTATATTATATTGTACAAGGTTATGATAATTTACGTATCAGTACAGAAATAAATTGAACGGAATTGTTAGAAAAACTCTCCTCTTCAAAACCTCATTACAAATACCCGCGGCCACAGTTTCACTTGTATGAGGAAACAAAAATCTGGGCTAATGATACCCTGCTGCAGAATAGATAGAAAAATTACATACGTGTACATGTACCAGAATATAGCAATATGACTCCTCAATTAATTATTGAACTATTATACCAGCATTTAAGATAACACACGATAATTCTGCACTCCTTTAAATAAGATGTAAACTGTTGTTACTTATACAATAACTTTTTCCTTTGTGTATCCCTGCATGGTTAGCTATAAAAGCAACATATTCCATTTATTTCATAACCATTAATTAGCGCAATGTTTGTGCAATTTACAGGAGAATAGAGTACACCGTACAAGTCGATTGGCTAGTAAACAGACAAGCAACAGGGGTAAGTACATCATCATTATTAGGCTTCAAAATGTATGTTTCCTCCAGTAAAATCTGGGTAATGTAAGTATGTGAAATACCTCGAGCAAAGATCGTAACACCGAATGTTTGACGAAACTGCTCGACATCTGTTATTATTTTAGTTATTTTTAAATTAAATTTACTATTGTTTAGCGAACGGAAGAAAGGAATCTACCTCCCTAAAGCAAGTACAATTGGTCGGAATTGTAAAAAATAGAACGATATAAAACATACATGCAACTGAGACTTAAGATTTTTTCTTAATCGCTGCTGTGGTATGTTCTAAAAGTGAGATGCAAATAGTAACCGAATTGTGTTAATATATTTAAAAAAACTTGCTTCAGCCAAAAATGTTAAGCTATTGCTCAGGTTAATAACGAATTCAGATGGATGTCTCCCCTTTTTTGGGATATATTGCTTATTTCTAATAATGGGTTCCTATGGTTTCTTAGGGCATTTTTGTTGATAACATAAAATAAAACAATCGAATTAGCCATTATGGGTAACCATTACAAGAGCTGAGTCCCATTATCCAGTAGACTGATAAACCGATCTTTATAATTACATTCTCATGGGATTTTACCTGCTTTTCACACTTATCTCATAAAATATATCACATTACAGATAACTAAATGATGCTGGGTAAAAAAAACAGTTGACCTCAGATAGTTGTCGTTGTTTGTTTCATAAATGGAAACGTGCGGCTTTTGGTCAGATTATTAACTCAGTAAACTCTTGTAGATGGTGAAGTTGATTACCAATTTACTAAGATGTAGTTCGACATATTGTTAAACGCTCGGTGCAATAAATGGGTATTGTATTTCTTTACTTGTGCATAAATTATGAGTGACTTTTTTATGGTGAATGGAATTTGGATTGGGTTAGGCGATGTTTTATGTCGCTTGTTATGCCAGGTTAGTCCTTTTAGTAACAGTCAAAAGAGTTTCTTTTTGAGAGAGAGAGAGAGAGAGAGAGAGAGAGCAACACGCAAAAGAAGTGCAATGACATTGCACTCAGTTCAAATGTAGTAGAAAGTTATCCTGTCATTTACTAATCTCTCAACAAACCGGATAACAACATATAATCAGGCAAGAAGTCTCTTGTCAGAAACGTGACACTTTAATGTAGCAGCCAAATTGAGTTTTGCGCAATTTGCACTTTGAGAAAATGTATTGCCGCTACTTTGGCCATTGGCGTGTTAGTAATCAGGAAGAATCTACATGTATAGGTCAGATGCAGAGGAGATATGCGGCGGATAAATAGCTAGAACACTGACACCGTGTGTCCTGGTTCTGATCTTCAGTACTGTTGATGTGCAATACGTGCAACAAACTGTGTAACAGAATGTGCATAATGTATACTCATAGACACACAATTGGATCCCTGCCATAATCATTTTGGAGCGGTGTATAGAAAATCCATGATATCATTTACTTTATTCAAGTATCCCCGCACCGCAAATTATGGTGAACTTTGTGTGTGTGTGTGTGTGTGTGTGTGTGAGTATGTGCGAGCGTGTGCCCATGTGCGTTTCTACAAATGTATCACAATCTAGTTTAGTCCCTGAGTCTGTACGGCAAGCTACCCCATTGGTAAACCACACTATGTACATCAACGGAGTTGTCAAATCTTCGCGTTAACTCTCTTTCTAGGCGTTTTTTGTCATCGATTCTTTGCGATTCCAGCTTGTACCATCGTTTTGCTCACACCACGACTTGCGGATCATTCCCATATCCTGTCTTACTAACTGTTGATCGATCTATATATCGCTTAAACGAGTACCATTCAGCAATAAGAATACCAATCAATTTTGATGTCAGTTTCCATTTGTACTGGTTTGGAAAAGAAGTAATTTCAGTAAAACGTTATTTCCAAACTGCCTGTCGAGTCGACAGTAAGCAGTTATTTTGGTGATATCATTAAATCCAGGCTAAGTCTGATGGAAGTGCACTCATTAAAGATACTCTGTACGGGATTTACCTGACGAAGTGATTTTTCCTGGAACAAAAAGCAATTTCTGCTACTCGTTCGACCCGTTCCTGCGGTTGGATTCGATGTTTTATTCCATTTATTAATGATATAGATTTAAATTAATGATTTAGTTCTAAATGACTTAACCAATTTTCTTGAGATAAACGGTGTATTTATCCGAATAGCAAAGCAGCGCCCACCCCACTTTCTTGACAACTCTGTACATGTACTGTAGCAATCTCGCTAACTTAAAGTCTTAAACCGATGCCGCCATCACTTAGAGCACTTGGCACCGGTTTGCACGCAATTCAACCGGTGTGACAAGGTGGTTCACAGGTGACGAAGTCCGTCAGGATGTGATCAGTTATATTATTTTGAGGGCATTAATTTATGGCATTTCTTTGTTAAAAGTAGTCAAATAGTATTACCTGCCCTTAGATAAGGCCAACAAAAAGTTTTACTGTATGTACATTTCAAGTAAAAGACGCATTTTCAAATTTTGACGCTTTGTCCCTCTTATCTTCCATAAGGATTTGGACACCCCTTTTTACCAGCATCAAAAAGCCCTTCATGTCTGTCATGCAATACACTGACGCGACACGGTTATTTTTAGTTAAACCCCGGATTGTGCACGCTGGCCCCGCAAGGTGTCGCCTATGGAGGTCGGGCAGCACAGCTCATTAGGCCCATATGGTGAACAGTGGCAAAGGTGACAGGTGCTTCCAAACATTTTTTCATAACCGTGATTGATTCTCATTCCATTCACAGATTTGATATCGACGGCAATGCTAAACAAGCATAGTGCTTGTGGCACTTGCAAAAGTGAGTCTAGGTACGTTGACAGGTCGCATAGGTGCCCCAGATTAACCCCCGACAGAGAAGAGACCCCAAGCAAAGAACAACACAACCTGTAGATACTGACCATTTGGCAAAAGTTAAGCAACACTGGATTTTGGCAGAAGTCGAGAGGAAATTCATTAACATGCCAAGTTCAAGTTCAAGACTTGGCCCTTGACACCAGCAACGCTCCCCTTAGTCAAGAATCTGAACGAGACAGGATGTGATCCTGCGTTCGGAAGGTACATTGTTTATTCTATTTTCTACGGGCGTTTTTTTGTAATTTTATCAACTTGCTTGACATTTTGTTCCCATGTGCTAGTAGCGTACACTAACTGCGCTGTAAACCCATTTATCAATGCTGTCATCTTTACCTGTATCTCTATTTTAATAGATTAAAATACTGGTAGTAAAATACCAGTGGCACGTACGTTTGACACATTTCAGTAAGGAAATAAACCGTGATGCTTATATTAATTTGCAATACTTAAGCATCATCCTATTAATGAAAACTCAACCTTTCAATATCATCATACAATAACACTATAATGGTGGGAGGTGCTATGAAAAAATGCTTATTTAAAAGAATTAATAAAAGCAAATAATATGTGATTTTATTCCATTTGGGATACTTTTAATCTTTTTTCAAACCAGTTAATTATCAAACATGACTTATTTTCAGATAATCCACAGATATTACTGCATTGTAACCCTGTTGATACACAGATCCACAGTTCTAAGTTGCAAATACCTTTCAGACACCAACTGATAAGATGTTTATAATTATATGTATAAAGTAGTGAAAATATCACATAATGTGTGTGCAGAAGATATATTTCTACAGGTATCTTTCATTCGTCAGCCATAAAACTTGTACTCAATAAATGTAGACATTTGAACGAGCGAAAAATCTACATACAGACATGGCAGTGTTGTGCATTATATTGTCACCAACCTAAAACTGAATGGGTATGTAAATAACAAAGGGAGTCTCCCTTCCATTTACTGGCATTCTTAATACTGAAAAACAAATTACACCTTGCAGCCTTCACTGTCCCACTATTTGCAGATAGTGTTCTAATCACTGTGTACTTTTGATGAGGCATAGACTTTGTGTCATGTTGTCATGTATAATTTGTGCCTGAATGTAATCTGATGTGCCCATATGTAATTATTTTTGGGTGTCTTATGGTATGTCATGTAATCAAAGCGATGTTTCAGAGTCCTTGAAAGACCTTGTGAAAACCAGGAAGCAGTTCGCAACTGACAACTGAATCTCACCGAACCACGATCGCTTCTACTTCCTGGTTTTCACAAGGTCCTTCAAGGACTGTAAAACATCCCTATAATTGCAGCAAGTACCATAAAACACCCAAAAATTAGTAGATATGGGAATATCAGATTATATACATGCAAATATTCCACATGACAACGATTTACACCCTCGCGGGAATGTTTTTCCTTTGACGGTCTTTGTCGCACTGTCGGTCGATGCAGCATATATTTCAAAACAAATTGACTGCATACGCAAGATTTTGCACCTTCAAGTATTGCAACACTTTTTCAGGTGATGTACATGTACCTTTATTTCTACAAGTATTTTCTGCCCAAAGTACCAAAAGAAAAAGTTATCTCACTATGTTGTTGGAAAAACTGCTTTTTTTCTCTGAGGCCACATCTTCACTCCCGTTCACCTCCAGCTAAAAATGACCTCTTACACCACTACACGTCACTTCCGGCATAATCCTATCTCCTCGGGTACCCTCTATTCAATCATGTTTTAGCAACATGGAATTATCATTAACTTTGCTGATTAACGTGTACACAGTACCTTGCTAGCAATTCTGCTCTTTTCCCACCAACTCGCCACCTACAGACTAACCACATCGTTTCAAAACAACGTTGGTATGAACTTCTACATTAAGTGTTGGCAGTTTCGCTCCGGAGACGTCGTCTTCGGTTAAAAACAGCCAGGCCTACCCAACTACCAGACTCGGCACCTAAGGATCCTGAATTAACCGGTATATCGGACCACGCTACCCGTTTTCAAGGTGTGTGTCAGATCGCATTTCGGAGTATCATACTCCAGAACAAATTTTGTAGCACGACTGCGGGCTCATCCACGCTCAGTTGAACAACCTGAAACTGTACTCTTACTTTAGAGTTCTCTAT